TATATATATATATATATATATATATATATATATATATATATTAGAAGCCTTACATGTGTTGAAACTGCTATATTACTTTAATTTAGTTATTTCCATAGCATAATACCATATGGAATATTCCGATGGGGTAATGCGACTGAAATTGAAACTACATTTGTTTTGCAGAAAATAGCCATACTGGCAATTAGTAACCTAGGTCCGAAGAAATCCATTAGAGAAAAAATTAAAAGAAATAAATATATTAACTTTGGCCTCTCAATATATTTATGAAAAGTTAAAGTATATACATAAAAACAAAAATAGTTATATTTAAAATAGTGATGTACACTACTATGAACAAGCACAAGTTAGTTTTACCAGTTAATCGACTCCAAAGAGTCAGCAATTGCTTAATGTATACGATTTTGCAACAAAGTGCCATAAAATATGCAGGCCTTATCTAAAATTCTTACATGACTAATGGCTTTAATTTAAAATTTCAAAGCACTATCATTAACAAAAAAAAACAACTTGAACACATAACATATAACAAAAGTATTTAATTTTACAAATTACATTTAAAATACGTTCTTCACGTGTGTTGTGGCGGATTATCAAACGGACCTCAATTAGCTTATCACTACAAAATTATGCTATGCTAAACTAAACTACTAAACACCTACCGCCTGCTATGCAAAAAACCGGCACGTCTTTATAGATGTGACTCAATTTACTTACGTGACGTAAGAATATTCAATAATAAACACCATAGAATACTATAATACACAATAGAATGGCTGTCTGAACATATAGGGCGCCCCCCTCTTAATTTCAAGATTTAGACATCCTTTAGTCTTATAAGGACATCTTAAAAAAAAGAACACGCAAAAACGCCCACCATGACATAAACGTTTTTAACGGGGGGGAACTTGTAGTAGTCGGCCTTTGTTCAATAGGACTTGGACTATCCGAGAACTACTCTTGCAACTTTGATTAAGGCTACTGTGAGTAATATGTGCTAAATGAGGATTTAAATATTTCGCTACCGTAGGGCTAGGCAGGGCAGTGCCCCAGGTTCCACAAGCTCAAAGGGCCCTTTATTGTTTACTAGCTTCCGTCCGCGTTTTCGTTCACCTAGTATAGACCAGCAAAATCATCCCACATGATCCTTTTATCGGGATAAAGGTGTGTTTTACCCAGGTATAGCTCTTTCCGTGTGCAAAATTTCATCCAAATCCATCCAGTAGCTTTCGTGAAAGCGTAAAAAACAAACAAACTTTTACATCTATAACATTATTATGACGTACGATTAAATATTATCTGCTGCGTTACACATAACACGTCTTGCAGTGGGAGATATGGAACTGATGATGTAGTAGTTTTGCACCTTTAAAGTATTTTATTTAAATAGGACCCCAATCAATTTCTGCCCCAGGCCCTTGGTTACATAGCTACTTCACTGACTAAAGAGTATATAATATATAATTACAACACTTTATGTGTGATTTTGACTGACATGTTTAACGGTATGAAACGAATTGTAATTGCTCTTCGCTAAATATGTAGTGCATTACTATGTTTTATTGCTGATAAGGATTGATCGCGTAAGTTAGACATCAAGGTGAATCCGCGATCACACTATTTATTAACTATGTATAATAAGTATATTATGATTGTTAGTGAGTATATGTTAGTGATAGCGTAACTTCTATGTTCTAATCGACTTGACCATTTAAGGTCTTCTATACATATAATAAAAATGTAATTCACATAATATATTTTTTTAAATAATACCTCTACACTCCATAATAATAGAGATTAGACTCCCTTTATTTTGTAGTTCATAGCTAGGCTAGGATCATTTACAAATTTTATATTAAATAATATACATTTTATGAACCAAAATGACGTAAATTCAAGATATATTTTATTATGTTGGGTTGTTGCCAAGAAAAATCATAAAAACCTGATCCGATCGGTAGTGTAGTGGTCAACTTTTTGTTGTTATTTACTCTACTAAAAAGACCGAAGTGAAACACATCGTACCACGTGCTGTAAAAGGGCAGAACAACGTCTGTCGAGCCTGCCAGCCCTGTATGCACGTCTACATCTGTCATGAATTACCTAGATTAAGTACCGAAATGCAGATGCGTTGCCAACACTGGTATGCCTATTACCAGTAAGAGGGTATTCGATTATTTTTGTTTTCGATACGAGTGTTACCTATATTGTTATTTTACGCCGATTTTTTCGTTGCGGGCATGATCTTTTCCCAGTCAAGCCGACCTATTCGTGCTGTAACGTTCCACGTCAAATTGCTTTAAAAGCCGCCTGTGACCATATTGCACTGAGAGTCTAGTATTATTAATATTGCACAACACGATTATATTATGTCAAAACAGAAATTAATGTGTGATAACTTATCGTGTTATTAAAATAATAATTGTGTCATACACATATCAGCATATTACTATGGGTGATATTAATCAGCTAATAATAATAGAATAGATATGCCTTTCTCAAAGTGGGCGATAACGCCCCCATGTAAAGACTTAGACACTTGGAGGAAGGCGTTAAGGGGCCCAGAAAAAAATGGGAGGCGTTGGCGGTAATTTTATACTATCGCGGTCCCCTCGTTTTTTGGCTCTAGAAAATCGAAAAATCATCCGATTTCAATGATTTTTTTAAATCTTCGTTTTTACGGCGGATTTACGAAAAAAATACAGAAATAAAAAAATAAAACTTATATTGGTTTCAGGGCTTTAAATGTTCATGAAAATGCACTTATTGACGTATAATTGTTGATAACTTTTTTACAAATAATGTAATGAATTTGTTATTTTCTTCATAAACTACACAAAAAACGAATTATTAAATATAAATATTTTTTTTATTTTAGTGTTTTATTGAGTGTAAGATCGAGCGAAGCGAGCGAATAGACCCCGACATCTCCTTCGTGGTTATTTTTTTATAAACCACTCAGAAGTAGGAACCTCGCGAAGGGGGGCTCCGTCAACCGGCCTTCCCTCGACTGCACTACGTTGAGAGACGTGGTGCTTTCCTCTCCCAGCTCTCTCCCGGCTCCTATGTTTCTGAGGGGTTTATAAAAAAATTATCATGAAGGAGATGGCAGGGTCTATTAGCTCGCTTCGCTTGATGTGGGAGAAAATGAGATAGGTAGCTTTATAGATTACAGCTTAATGCTCGCGAGAAAACGTAAACGCCGCCGAAACGGCGTTGCTAACGCGTTTTGTTCAATAAGGTACGAAGGTGTCGTGTGCCTATGGATTCAACCAGGCCAAACCTCAACTTCGTAGTTGGTAAAATTAGTATACTCGTAAATCTTTTTGTACCGTAAAACATGCCAACTTTGCCCTAAAAATGAGAATATTCTTGCATTTTTTGAGTTATTTTGAAAACCCGTTATATGTTTCATACCATATTTGTACCACACAGTACTTTAAGTTCATGTCTCGATATTTATTTCTTAAAATATCCAGAAAGTTGTATGTATATTTGTAAAAAACACATTCATATGTGGTGGGCAAAAATTCATAGATTTTTGGCAACTTTGCCAACTTTAAATATTTCCGATGTTATAAACCGTATCAAAAATCTTAAAATAGCCAAACATAAATGTAGAGCAATGCAGTATTATATTAAAATATCAGTTTAATAGTCATATTCATTGTCCTTTAAAATTGAGTGGGCAAAGTCAAAAACCCACCTAGAACATTTTTCTTACAATAACGATCAACGTCTAAGGGCTGTCACCATTAAAAAAATGCTTCATTCCAATAATAAATGAAAACTTTTTATATATAAAATATTTATTGACATAATAAATTCAAAAAGTGCAATCATAATGGATACAAAATAAAGAACAACGGTGTACCTACATACACTGTTTGTTTGAGTTACGTAGCGATTAACAATAAAGAATAAAAGGAATAAAAGTACAACATGTAATAGAATAAACTAAAAATACCTAAACTTATATTATTGAGCACAGATTCTTTGAGTATTTTTTAGATTTCGATTTAAAATCGAAATCAAGGAACACTTAAACATAGGTGTAGTGTGTACCCAATAATTTTACTTGCGATTATAATCAAACTAGCTTATATTATAGGTCCAGCTTAAATATCAAAAACACCTAACGGATTTTTAAAAGATGTAATCATCTTCTTAACTGTCTTCTTCTATCTTTCATAAACAAATCAAATATGTCATCTATAATTAGTATTTTAATAACGTAAATATAATAGCAGCTATTCTTAATGTTTTAATTATTATACAAAATATTCTCAGTCTTATAGGAACAATTGTTACAATTGAGATCAAGTAAAACTTAAGCATAGATAAACAAAGAGTTTCTTATTTTACTTCAGACTGAATTTGCATTATATTATAATAATAACATAACAATTTAACAGTAAAGTTTTGTACTTAACAAAATAACTTTAGTTTACAACATATATTTATCTATTCTTCTATACTATACTAAAACTCTAACACAGCATCTGTTTGGACACACATCACGCAAAAACCAGTGATCCGATTTAGATAAGACTTTCACTGGCGGATAACTGATTTTATAAGGAGCAACTTAGGCTACTTTTATTTTAGGGTTTCGCGGAAAATAATCCACGCAGGCGAAGTTGCGGGGAACAGCTAGTAACTTAATATTTTATAATAAGTTTATTGTATATTATAACTAGAAAAATCAACTTCGAACATAACTTGGCCCCTTCTAGTAATTATTGGTTGCGGTAAGACGAGAACAACGTCATCTACGTGAAGCATTTCATAAATATCTTTGACAGGTGGATACGTAAAGGTTAATCTTTTGCTATTTGCAGTATTTTTAACTTTCCTTAGAAATTCTATTGTAGGGATATTATTTTTAATAAATAAAATCTGTCCAACAAAGTGCTTGACGCTTTTTTTTCGTAGCAAATTTTGCTATGAGCCAGTCACCTTCGTTTAAATTATCAACATTGCCTGTGAAATACTCAATATCACTGATCCCAAACGGGATCGGGTCCGGCTCCAAGTTTTCTTTTTTCCGACTGATCTTGTAAACAGATTTTTATGTAGTCATTTAATGTTTCATATTCCGAATCATCTGATTCTGCTATACTCAATTGAAAGTCGGAAATTTCAGAGCTTGATTCACTAATTTTTTTTTTAAATTTCTTCTTATTCACAGATGTTGTTTTCCTTGATTTTGTTTTGATTTTATTAATTTTACTCCTTTTTTCACGCTTTACGCATGTGGTTCTAGTCATACTTTTTCGTTTTCGTGTTGTATTTTCTTCTTTTTGCATATTTATGTATTCATTATTTTTGTCCGTTACGCTTGAATCATTGTTTATTGTATCCCTTGTAAATAATTTCATTTTCAGTGCTGATTGCGTAATAACTTTAGCACCAGCATCTATTTGGATCCTTAAGTTTTTCTGTGTTTTTCTTTCCTTACAGTCTAATTTTACATTGGAAGTTATTGTAACATTTGTTTGATTTGTTGGTTGCAAACATGGTGGCAAATCATTATCATTTATCACTATAAATGGCAAGTTCTCTTTGTCACATTTTCGATTTTTGCTTAATAAATGCACATCATTTGGTGATAGAGGAGTAGAAATCATATTATTATTTATAACTGTTATACAGATTTTACTGAGACTATCTGGATTATAAAGCACATGGGATATATTTGACCATAGGAACATTTGTAAATTATTTCTATAAACATTTTCATTTGACGTCGAAGGCGTTTCGTTAGATTTATTGGACGGAAAAACTATACCTTCATGTTCTATCTTCTGGGTAGTTTCAATATGTTCAGGTGTGTTTTTTAAAAAAAATCCTATTTTATCATCCAATACGAGCTCATTTTCTTCTATGTCTCTTTCAGTAGTCACTTCTTCTAATATATTTATCTCACAATCTTGCCTGCTGCTTTCTATATCATTAAAATTATCCTGATAGTTTTCAAATCTTTTGGATTTCTTATTTTGAACACTTTTGTTACTAGTTGTTTTTATTAAAATATCGGCGGCACAAACTGACTTGCCTGGTTCTGTACGTAATTTCTTACTCCTTTTCACTGCCATTGGTTTAGAACACCTTGTTTTTTGTAGGTAATCTAATAAAGCTGAATCTATTCTGTACACTTCTTCGTCAAAATACTCAGGTATTCGTTTCAAAACATTTCGGGCATTAACTGGCCATATTCCCGCGGCTCTAAATCCACTTTTAATATTATTACTTTCTCTGAGATTAATATTTTTTAATAATTCGTTCAAGAGTTTAGGAAAGTGCTTTTTATTAATAGTTGACTGTTCCGGATTTTGAATTTTATAATTTGTGAGTACCTTCCTCCATTCTCTTTTTTAAAGGGGCAAAAAACGCTACATCTAGAGGTTGGGTCAGATGTGTGGAGTTCGGTGGAAGAAACACAAACCTAATATCATATTTTTGGCATAGCTCCACAACTTCGATATTTAGGTGACTAGAAAATTGTCACCTATTATGACTTTTGGTCCTGAAAGATTCTTTGCCCACTTTAGTATAATTGTTCTAAAATAATCCTCAAAACAGGCAGAGTCAAACCAACCCGATTTCGTGCAATTGTAACGAGTTCCATCAGGACCTCCGTCAACCCATTCGGAATATAGATTTGTAGCTTTATATACTACATATGTTGGAAGACAGTCACCAGCTGCAGACACCGTAAACATAATCGAAACACAACTCTTAGAACTGTTTAAAATTCTTTCGGGATATTTTATGCCCCTTCTAAAAATGCATTTTAAATTACTCGGGTTATCAGACAAATTAGTCTCATCGTAGTTAAGGATGTTACTAGGTGGAATATCCTTCAGCGTCGCTTGTAAATTATCGAAGAAATTTTGCATTTCTAGCAGACCTTTCTCGGCCCGGACCTTTTTTATATTTTGTGTAGTTCGAACTGATAATTTTGATGAATGTCTATTTAAAAAATTTTCTACCCAAGTGTTTCCGGGCATTTTTCCATTAAAAATATGACTGCGTGAATTTTTTTCCAAATAATTAAAAACAAGCATTTTCAGGTCTAACTTGGTCATTGGAGAACCATAGTCACTGACAGCTACCAGAACATTTACAAGATTTTCTTCTTCGATTTCTGTTAGTTGTTTTTGTCCCCCAACCGTTTTCATGTGCACTTCTTTTGCCTTATTTATTATGGTCCTCCGTGGTATCCCGAATTGTTTTTCGGCTTGTCTACTAGAAATAACATTTTTTTTACTAGGTCTACTGCTATATCCAACATTTCTTTAGAGTAGTTTTTGTAATTTCTGGATCCTAGTTTCCTTCTATTTCTTTTTCTTTTTGTACATGTATTTGAATTATTATTACTGTTCATCCTATAAAAACAAAAACAATATATCTGAGAAACTATAAAAACAAATAATAAAAAGGTTACAAAATGCGGAATTACGCAGAAGCGTAGAATACTATATGTAGAAAATACGATCGACGAGATCTTTCATTTGTGCTACTAACAAAAATTACAGCAAATAAAAAAGTTACAGATGACAACCCTACGGGTAATAAATTGGTGGGCAATGTTGTCAACAATGCTCAAAAAAGAAGTGTGTGACTTTGCCCACCAACATATTAGGTGAATTTATGAAATTTTTTGCGTAAATAGTAGTCTATATTATCCATTTTAAATATATTTACGGTTGTAAAAAAAATTACTTACCTGCTGTTACTGCAACTATCACTTTTCGGTAAAGTTTTTGTGCTGGTTTTTGCCCACCAAAAAACACTACCAACTTATACAAGTTCTGACAGGCAACTGAAGTTACATAGATGACATAACATCACTTAGTATTGCTAGAAAAATAATGAATTTTATACTACAGACAAAAAAATACTCCTAAGTTATGTCAAATTCGCTGTGTATCAAGTTTACCAAAAAATACCCAACTGGGCAAAGTCAAATCCCAAGGGCAAAGTTGCCAGGTTTTACGGTAATTAGTGAGTACTATATAAGGTATATCGAAAAGAGTAATATAATATCGGTGTCTAATATATATATATATATATATATATATATATATATATATATATATATATATATATATATATATATATTAAAAGGATTGTTACATTTATTTACTATAAAATTAAATTTTCTTATGTTTTATACCGAACTTGTAGTTTAAATTATAATATTAAATAAATCATATAAAGTATTTGTATTTTATATTTCATTTCATTTGGAGGTTTCACTTCTGTCGCGTGTGAGCTGCACTTTTAATGTTCGTTTTTTGTGTAGATTAACAAAAAAATATATATAAATTTCGTTTAATGCTTTGCAAAACAAGTTATGAACGATTATATTCGAATAAGTGCATTTATGATCACAGTTAAAGTCATAAGATAAGATTATATGAAATCTTCAGGTGAGATATTTTCCATATTCTTTTTTCATAAATCCGCCATAAAAACGAAGATTTAAAAAAATCATCGAAATCGGATGATTTTTCGATTTTCTAGGGCCAAAAAACGAGGGGACCACGAAAGTATAAAATTACCGCGTGGGGGACGATGATTGATTTGTAATTTCATTTAGTTACTTTATATTTTAAAATTTACTAAAATTAAAACCTACCTACTACTCAATATCGAATAATTAGTTTATATTTCTGCCCTGTATGATGGTATGTATATAAACTAGAAATACTTAACATAGATTTCGTAGAATAGCCCGTACGCTGTACGCAATCAAGTTGTAACGAGTTTTTGTTTAATAACGCTGTTGGTGCAATCCGGTAGCAATCGGCTGGTTTATCGATACTTGTCTTAACTTGCTCAGTACGATTGAGCGTCGAAAGAGATAAACGAGTTTGTGCGTTTGTCCTATTGCTGTCGGTGCGTGCTGTATTTAAATAAAAATAAAAAAAGTAAAGTTACAGCCAATATACGTCCCACCGCTGGGCACAGGCCTCCTCTCATTTCTGAGAGGGTTTTAGGGCAAGGAAATGTCCGCCGCGCTGCCCCAGTGCGTGTTGGCGAACTTCACATGTCTTCGAAATATATTTTTTTCTTATTTCTCAGACATGCAGGTTTCCTCACGATGTTTTCCTTCACCGCCGCGCACGTGGTAAAACAGTACTTAAAATTGCAATTAACAATTTCATTGGTGCCGGCGGGGATCGAACCCGGTTTGCTCGCGTATTGTGAAATTTACAGCGAGCGCTAACCATCTGAGCTACCTAGTAGTATTTAAATAAGCTCGTAATAATTTTTATATTTTCATAAGTGGTTTCGCGCGCAATCTTTAAACAAGTATTTAAGGGGATATAGCATTGACTTATATATTACTAGCGTAAGGACCGGGCCAACCGAACAACTAAATTACAGTTTAGGGCCAACACGAATCGGTCGACGGTGGTGCGCGCGCAAGACATTTGCCTGTCATAAATACGTCTAGTTGCATGGTATAAGGATGCAAAAATTACGATACAAAGATAAAAAGGAACATGAGATATCGTATCATCGGTAAATAACCTTATATTGATTTTGTTACAATAAAATTATTATATAAACACATTTTTAAAGTTTTATTTTACAGTTAGTTTAGTTACGTTACCGAGATTAGGCCAGGGCTGAATTCAGACTCTCAAAAATATTGTACATGGGAAATAAAATTATACTATTTAAAAAAAATTGTATCACGTTTGACGTTTCATGTTTCTTTTTCCCATGTGCCGAAATTTTTGCGTCACGCGTCTAGTTTATCTATACGTCTCGTTTTTAACGATTTTATTTTTTTTCTGTTTAATTTTTGTCTAAAGAACTAAGTGTACGTTAAATTTTGAATATTGGTACCTAATATATTTTATATTCAATAAAGGTAAAACGAAAAGAGTACAAAAGAAACCATATCTGCTTAATTGAATCTGAAACTCTGATACATAAAATATTTTGAAATTCTGTTTTCAAACCGATTGCTTCTGGAGCATAGAGTTTTTATCGTGGTAGCCTCTCATTATAGTTGTATCAAGGATGCAATAATGCTAATCTAATTTTATTTAAAAAAACGCGGTACTCATGTAAAATACAGAAATTCTCGATATCGTAGGTTAATATTAAAAAGTAAAAGGACCCAATAATAATACAAGTCGACCTTTAGGTAAAATTATGGTAATTTCGCTTTGTATTATTACGATACTATATTATACTACAAACTATGAAATAATGATACAATTAGGATAATTATACTAAGAAATCCGACCCCGGTTCCGTCGTGTTATGATATGACGTTTGTATTATGACAGATGCGCTACTTTTTCTTGTATGAACAACTTATGAGTAAAATATTTAGATGGGCTTATCCTCATTTTGAAATCATTGGGATATAGTAAGTCAGCTCAAATTCTAATTTCGCCCCCACTTCCCCGCGCGTCGTATGCTATGTACCGACATGTTTATAATCACTAATACTGTAAGTAGAAAGGTCGTTAGATACTTATTTCATTAGGTTTATCATATTTATGCTTGTTTCTTAACGCCAATCCAGTCGCTTCTTATTTTTATTACGGTTATTTCCCATTTTAATTTTACGTCGTCCTGTTGCGTAATGTGTATCCTGATCGTAAGCGACACAACTTCTCTCTTCAAAGGTTGAAGCGAAACTGACCGGGCGGCAGGAATCAAGCTTCAAGATGCCGATAGTTTAGGTAATTTCTTTACACAGTGAAAATAGTGGTATTTAAAAAAAGTAAACAACATAAGTACTGCTTTATAGTTATTTTAGTTATTATGCAAAGTTTCGTGATCTTATTTAAAGTATTTTATGAATAACAGCGGTTTATTGTTTATTTTGGAGGTAAATTTGGATTTTTTTCTATCGAGAAAATTTTACGGAATCGTGTTTTCGTCTAACATAGTCCTTAACATTAATCCTCAACTTTTCCATATATTTATTTCAAAATTAATGCTGCATATTTTCGGCATAACGGAGGATCTAACTAAGCCATTTGAGGTTATATTTCCTCTTAAGTTGAACACTTTATTTACATATTTGTAAAAACAAAGCCATGTCTGTATGTGACGGCTGTATAGTTCAGAATATATTAAATATGGATTCATAGAAAATTCGACAAATACACCTTTACCTTTGTGCCTCCTTTGTTCAAAAACATTTTCAAACGAAGCGATGAAGCCTTCAAGCATTCAAGATCATTTGAATAAAATGTATCCAGATAAGAAGGACAAAAATGTAGCCTATTTTCAAGATCTGGAAAATAAGCATAATGCTCAGTCAAGTGTATCAAAACTTTTTTCGGTGGCTGCTAAGCAAGAAGATGACGGACTTCGAGCTTCATACAATATCTCTTTGTTAATTGCTCAAACATGTAAACTACACACCATCGGAGGAACGTTAATTTTGCCGGCAATAAAAGAAGTTATAAATACTGTGCTTCATAAACCGGTGGCAGACATAATTCGAAAAATTGCTTTGAGCAGTAGTTCTGTGCAAAGGCGAATTGATGAAATGCCTAAAAACATTTAAGAGTCATTGTGCAATAATCTGAAGACTAGTCAATTTCCAATTCAGTTGGACGAGTCCACTGTACCAACTAATGAAGCATTGTTGATGTCTTACGTGAGGTTTATTAAAGATGAAAAAATATGTCAAGAACTATTATTTGTTAGAAATTTAGAGACAGACACAAAAAGAGAAACCATATTTAAAAAACTGGAAAAGTTTTGTGATGAATAACGAATTCCCTTGAAAAATATTATATCAGCTGCTACAGATGGTACTCCAGCTATGACGGGGTGTCAAAAATGCTTAAAAAACAAAATTCTAGATGTGCTTGCTGTACAACGCGGTATACATCGACAAAATTTGGTTACTTTTATGTATAAATTTAAGTGAACGACCGTTTCAATCATTGCAACATGTCATAAGAGCAGTCAATAAAATCCGAAACAACTCTTTAAATGACAGATTTTATATATAATTTTAAACCGATTAATCTTTCACACAGAAGTGCGTTGTCTATCAAAAGGAAATTGTCTGACTCGATTTCACAACCTGTTTGACTTTGACACTGTCGAAGAGTTCTTGGAAAACAAACACACGGAATTGCATGACAACCTCACCTCATCACATCAAAGAATGATATCGCACACATTA